TGAAAATATTCATAGAAAAGGCACAGGCGGTAGAAAAGTAACTGTAGCTGAGATGCCAGGGGAACGGCATATATTCTATTAAAAGAAAATTTTATGGTTTTTAATTTGGGAACGATTGGCACATTCTTATTTGTATGTTATCGAGAATCTCTAAATACAAAGCACGTTACAAGATATGGCAGAAATATTCAATGCATGGACAAATGATAGACTTATAAATATGTAAAATAGATTCTGACGAGAAAGATTGTATAGCACAGCACAGTAGACCAACTTTGTCAGCAGCAGTTTTAGCTATTGATTCAATATGATCTTTCCAGTTCATGTCAGCAGAAAACCTTAGCCCGAGAAGGTGCAAGAAATCACTCTCCTGGTGGTTAGCATCAGCCATGCTGAGGGAAGGAAAAAAGGTTATTTTCATATACTGTGTTATTACAACGAATAAATATGATAATTACTTCTTTTTAAAATGAAAAACCTTGGTTGGGAAAAGCTTCGATTAAAATGAATATCCCACAAAATAGAAGGAAAAAATATATGTACCAGGATCTATACATATGTACATAATGTGTGAGGTGGTAATAGTAGCGTACAGAAGAGAGGGGAGAGGGTCCAACGGTCCTGGGCATCCCATCAAAGAGTGAAATACAAATTTAGTTTATATTTAATTTGAATAAGGAGTTCATTCTATGTTTCATCTGCTTTTGCATATTTAAAATATCTTCCTTTATCATATTTTTCAGTACTAGACCATATATGCCTCACCCACCACTTGAGTCTTAGGGGCCTGCAATCAAGGAGTTGGCCCCAGGCATCACCAAACATCACCAAAGCTCTGCACGTCACTGACTGGCAATCGTTTTGATCGTTAATCAGCAAAAAGCTTTTGTCCTGTCTTAGTCAGATTCTGGTTTTCTGATTCAGAATATAAGTTAAGACAATAGCATTTTGTCATATAGGAAGAAAATGAGTAACTACCGACTCTGTGGTTCGAGCATGACGCTCTGGACTTATGGATATATATTTTCCGCGAGATGTATAAATAGCGGCGTCAGGCTACTGACTAGAGTGATTATTAAGAGATTATTGAGTGACTATTGAGTGGAACTATCCAGTTGAATTAGTGTGAATTAATGTGCGACGATGATTTGAGTTTTGATTTACGATTTACCGAACGTTATGCTGAGTCGCGCTACTAACAAAGTATTCACTGAAATGGTTAATTATCTTTGGTTGACTTTTTGGTTGTAATTAAATATTGTTTTATCTTAATATTGAAGTCTTGAGTTATACTTAATTATTAACAGCCACGGTACAGGACAAAACATTTCTTTTTAGCCAACTTGCCAATCAAATAATTTTTATTCATTCTCATTATTCGAAAGACGGAAAGGAACAAATACTCGTTGGACAAAAATTGGACTTTTCTTTTAATAATCGTTCCCCAATTAAAAACCATAAATTTTTCTTTTAATGGAATATATATCGTTCCCCAATTAAAAACCATAAACTTTTCTTTTAATGGAATATATATCGTTCCCCAATTAAAAACCATAAACTTTTCTTTTAATGGAATATATATCGTTCCCCAATTAAAAACCATAAACTTTTCTTTTAATGGAATATATATCATTCCCCAATTAAAAACCATAAACTTTTCTTTTAATGGAATATATATCGTTCCCCAATTAAAAACCATAAACTTTTCTTTTAATGGAATATATATCGTTCCCCAATTCAAAACCATAAACTTTTTTTTTAATGGAATGTATTCCTTTCCCCAATTAGAACCATAAACATTCTGATTTTGAATATCGTAGAATGGTGATACAAGGAACTGTAGTAAATAACAGAAACTACATCACTTGGGAACTTTCGACAAAAGCGACAACAAAAATTGATAGCATATGGGAGAGAAAATAGTAGCATAATCAAGATGTTGACATTCCACATCACTTCAAGCAAAAAGCTACGAAGGAATCCCCTTCTATCAATATTTGAAAGAGCTATAATAGTTAATGGACTTGAGAAACCTATTTTTCTGAAAAATTGTTTTAAGAGAAAGATTAAAAAAATAATAATTCAACCTTCACTTGGTTGCTCGGTTAATGAATGACGGCTAAAATTTCCTTATCTTTACTCAAATCCGAGTCCAGAGCTACAAGCGGAATTTCATTTTTTTTGTTCAGAAAAATAAAGACTATGCTATTTTCAACTGGATTTTTACTAAGTGTAATTATAACTGCGTTAGTTTCAAATATTACAACATCTGCTGTCAATCAAAGCCGTTATTAACGTCTTGACGAGACTGCTAAACATTGCTTTACGGTAACTACCACTGTCGACTTTTACAATTACATTTGAACTGATTACCAGGAAAACAGACGTTGTTTTTTCACTACGTTTTTTCGAAGATCCGCGCTTCTTAATTCACTCTCTTTTCGGCAGATAAATGATCTGACAAACATATATACTTAGGCGTCATGCACAAAATAAATATTTAATTTTATAGTCAATTCTTACCGTACGAACAGAAGACTGTCATAGGTTAAATAAATTCCTAGATGAAAAGAAAACATTCAGAAAGAGAACTTATTTCAGACACCATAAAAAGTCATAACTCTTAGCAATGCTTTATTGACTTATAAAGCTGTGGTCACTGCAGATTTTATAAGCCCATGAATAGACCCTATTTCGGCTTAGATCACAAAAAGATTTGCAATAACTCAAACGAAAGCAATATAATAGTTAAAATACAAGTGATTTTTTTACTAAATCTGCGATACCAAAGTGGTATAAAGTCCTCAAGCTGTTAATTTTTTCATTTTTCAAGTCTTTCACAAAGGGCACATTGGCCCTACTCGTTTGTTCGAGCTGGTGCACTTTCGCAGGACTAAGTTCAATGTACAGCCTTTGAAATTTTAAGAAGCCAAATCAGTTGTAAAATGATTTGATGATACGTGATGAGTATAATGGAAAACATTAAATGAATAATGTCTTGTATTTACTTTATATTTATTTCAGAGAATCGAATTTCAATTCCAATCAGGTTCATTATATTCACTTCCGCTTAAATACCATTAACTAATACGATTTATATCAGTAAATCATTTTTATCTTCAAAACATTCTTCCAATCTAAATATATTTTCTGGCTTTAAATAACCTAGGTTGATAAGCTGTAAAAATCAAATCACTAGCTCAATTTATACTTAATTCGACAAACGAGAACAAATATTACATATTTGACAACGACAATATAATTTAGGTCCCCAGGCAATTTGACTGTAAATGTTTTCCTGGACAAAAATCTTATGGATAAAAACTTTCCATTCAGAAGATAAACGTAACAAAATCTGCCATTCACTTCAACAGACATTGTGCTTCCCCCATGTAACATTAGTAAACACTTTGTCTAAGTATTTTGTGAATAGATGTCAGCTGTTTCTGGAGAATTTTATATGATCCCTAAGGTACATGATTTTATACTATGCCTAAAATGATTTACACGAGACCTAAACTACATCATTTTATATCATCCCTAAGAGGAGTTTATATGATGTCAGAACTACATGATTCTAAATGATGACTAAGATGCTTTTATATGATGCCTAAGCTATATCTTTTATACAATATCTAAAATGGATTTACATGGTGGCAGAGACAATTTTATGTGACACGAAAATTAAAGGATTTTATATGATGCCTAAGCTATATAGTTTATACGATGCTTAAGATGGATTTACATGGTAATAGAGACGATTTTATATGACACCTAAGTTACATAATTTTATATGATGCCTGACGTACATTCTTATACGATGCCTAAGACGGATTTAAATGATGGCTGAGTTTAATTTATATGATGCATAAGCTACATGATTTTATATGACGCTTCAGTTACATTTAAAAAAATTGAATAACTACCATTGTTTATTTTATCCAATTATTTATTGGCATCGGAGAGAATTGTTCTTGAGATTTTTCCAAGTTACTCACTTTTCTACAACTCTACTTACTTAAAGACAGAAGACTTCACAGATGACGTGTGCGAAATTACGCGCGTGAAAAACTACTACTACTACTACTAGTAGTAATAGTATTAATACTAATACCAGTAGTACTACTACTGCTACTAGTAGTAGTTGTACTACTACTAGTAGTAGCATAAACTGTATGTGTGAGCAATAAGGAAGAAAATTTAAGGTAAAATGACACATAAAAGTGACAGGTGAAATTTGTAATAATGAGGAAAGAGGCTTGGAAAATTTAACACTCACAGGACATGTTGAATGAAATACATGCTAAGAGAAACAGCGAGTAACCTATCTAATTGATTTGTGTAAATGGATGATAAAACTTTATGGTAAAGACTCAAACGTTACTTGGAGCAACAAAGAATGGAAGTTGTGGAGAGACATGATCACCCACGCCCTGAAAAGACATGGCATATAAAAGTCGACAACAGTAACAACTAGTAGTAGTAATTATGGGATTTATGCACCTACTATTTTCATCTTCGTGAGACAAAATTGGCAAATGTAAAATTATGACTTTGGATCCCATAAGAAGAGAAACATTATTTACAAGCCGGAAAGAATGCAAAAATACAAATTTTAAAAAAAAATGGCTTTTACTTAGAATATTTGTTCTCGTTTCCTCCGAGATTTCATCTGTAATTTGGACTGACATTTTATCAAATGGGCTTTGGTGTTAATCATTTATTTGCGCCTTTATTTATTCTACAAATTGCCTTTTGAACAGCGAATAATGATTGGGGGGGGGAGAGAGAGAGAGAGAGAGAGAGAGACGATCTCTAAATAAAACCAAGATAAAACCAGATGACAATTTTAGTGCTTTTTCTTGCCCGATAGGCCTCCCCTCACCACACACACACACTTTACACCCTTTCATCTTTCCCCTGTCCTACTCTATAATCAATCTATCTTTAGCAACTTACGCTGCAATGAATCAAGCATTAAGATTATTTGAAGGCGTAACATGGGAGATCTAAAGCTTCATTTTTTGCTGATCAGAACTCTCCTGTCAGAAAGGAGAATTACAGTGCAGAGTTATCTGCCTTTTGTTACGGCGATCTACCCCGCCACTCCCACCTCCATAAAGCTTCCAGGTACAAAAGGCAAACAGCGCGGGTGGATTTTGACATTTGAGATGAAAAGGACGTATCCGAATTCTTGGCCAGTCAACCATGCTTAAGCATTATTTGTTCCCAGACTTGTTGGAACGTGTGTTAACGAAAATCCTGGAATTTACTACCAAACAGGACGGCAAGTACACTCTAGCCGGATATGATCCCTTCCCATCCTGTTATTGCTAAATACCCAAAGCAATTTATATTTGAAGTATTTACAAGAACGAAATTTAGCAGCGGAGAGTTTTGGGACGGATTTGAAATATAAATGTTGCATTTCCTTCTTTCTAATGTATTAGGAATTCTTAGGATCGAAGAGCAGGCATTTTCAGTTGAGATCACGTAAATGAAGAATTAGCCGAAAAGGGACTCACAACAGACATCTACTCATGCTTTTAATTCTGGGTAAAAGAAGCCGAGGAGTTAGAACACTGGATGATACATTTGGGGTTCAAAGGATGGTATGATTTAGGTAATTCCTGAATAAGGTTATTTGGTGCCAGGGGTTGTCAAATGTCAAGGGATCAAAAGATGATTTTTGGCAGGCAATATAGACATTTTCTATTCCTATTTAGCATTGAACTGATCTAAGTTAAACTTTGTAAATATCTACATACATACCCACACACATATCTATCTATCTATCTATCTATCTATCTATCTATCTATCTATCTATCTATCTATCTATCTCTCTCTCTCTATATATATATATATATAAGTAATGGTTTTTATTTGTTAATCCAATAGATTTTAACACGTTAAACGTTATTGAAAGTGGATAGCCATATTTCGGTCGACTAGACCGTTCGTGTCGAATCGATCTAAAAAAGTACGTCGAATCGAACGATGGTTTCTCCTTCAAAGGAGGATGTAGGCTGAATTTACATACATGCACACGCATAATTATATATATATATATATATATATATATATATATATATATATATATATTTTTTTACAACTGGAATTAAGATACCTTTAGTAAGTGACCATTTTCAACTACGCTCTTTTGTAAGTTAGTTTTAACATATTTCAAATTCTAACTTGTGTTAATAGGACTCGCCGGATTATACCAACGGATTACTATATATATATATATATATATATATATATATATATATATATAATCAATTCGTCCCAAACAAGGCGATAATGACGCAAAGAAGCAACTCGAAATGAAAATGAAAGAAGAAACTTTAGAATAACCGGAAACCCAATCCAAGTAAAAAATTATTTGTACTTTCGCCGTAACATATCTTTTAGTTTGTCACACTGCCTTCTACTCATGCGTGCTTATAGTTGGTACTGTTGCGGTCACGTGATCGAAGTTTGAGCTTGATTGCGACAGTTTTCTTGCTACTTTTACAGTGTATACCTCGCCGCTAATCTAGCAGTGTACAATAAGGAGGAAAAAAGGACAGTGAACCAGATCTGCATAGAACCTAATAACTTATCGATAATAACTCACCGGTTCGCCATTATATTCTCTCAAGTTTGCTGAATCTTTTCGTCAGTGATGGCGGTTGACAAGGCGTCCTACTTCTTCTTCGTGCGTCATGCTTGTCCAGCCACTTTTAAACTCGATTCAATCACACTGTTGACTTCAATGTTCCTATATATATATATATATATATATATATATATATATATATATATATATATATATATATATCTGGTATTAATGGATAATATTTATAATCCAATAGTATTGTTACTCTAAACGTTAAATGTTGTTGATGTGACTGTGTAGATATCCCTGTTTTTGAACAGTTTAACATCTATTGACAACAACTACCGGCAACATACACCACAAGAAACAAACAAGTTTCTCTCTAGTCATTGCAATGCTGCAGGTTTTATCTTTCCAGAGTCTTGCTCTTCATTACACATGGAGTTGAGATTGTACTTCGGGAAAATAGGATCTTTACTAAATACAGATTATAATTTTTAATAAATATTTCAATAAATATAATGCTACTTCTTCATTTAATCGTCCAAAACGTTTACATGTCCTATTTTCAGTATCACCATAAATTCAGATAAGAATTATGTCTTCTCGTACTGTAGCTATGTGAATGCTACAATTTACGATACTGTCCTAAATGATCACAAATAATACTAATGAAATTATACTGTCTGGCAGTTGCAGCTTCTTAGTGAAAACAAAAGGATTTTTAGCTTGGTGGTTCATTTATTTTTATTACTAATGAACTAGTGTATTCATATGAATACGTAAACTTGAATCTATATACATAATTTACATACCTGTAGTATTTATACACTTTTATTTATGGATCGATGCATTCTAAAGTAGACAGTATTATTCTAAGTTAGTCATTTAAATCAACATTAAAAACAGAAGCTATGCCCGCATACATAAATAAATATCCATGGAGGTCCTCACAGCAAGGAGTGGAAGCAAATCTTTGAATAGCTTACTTCAGTAGAGAATAGAGAGGATACAGTCGAGAGAGGAAGGTGGTCAGGAACAATAACTGTACATGAAACACTATACGGGACAGTTGCTCTGCTTATGTCTCACACCTACGCAAATACGCAAATTGGGTCAAAACAACTACAGATAGGTCATCTTGAACTTGTGGCATCATATAATACAAAACACCGGTCTGGCTTATCAAATAGACGGGTACATATTAAATCGGTATATTTTTCTAACCCACACGCTTTTTTTCTCAGCTTAATCAATTCAAAAAAACAACGTATTTTTTTCTTTCAAATACAGGAAAGCTTCAGATTTGAATTCGAAATGATAACCGCTTGGTAATGCTAACGGTAATGGTAATGTTAGCCGTTTGGAAATGGCAATGATAATATTAGCAGTTTGGTAATGGTAATATTAACCGTTTGATAATGGCAATTGTAATATTAGCTGTTTGGTAATCGAAAGATTAAAAGTTTGGTAATGGTAATATTAGCTGTTTGGCAATGGTAATATTAGCTGTTAGGTAATGGTAATATTAAACGTGTGGTACTAGTAATATTAGCCGTTTGGTATTTGTAATATTAGCTGTTTGATAATGGTAATATTAAAGGGGTGGTTTGGTTTTTGTAATATTGGGAGTTTGGAAATTTCAATATTAGCCGTTTTGTCTTCATAGCTGTCAGATAATGGTAATTGTAATATTGTTTGGTAATGATAAATATTAGCCGTTTGGTAATGGTAATATCAGCCATTTGGTAATTGTAGTTGTATCATTAACTGTTTGGTGATGTTAATGGTAATATTAGCTGTTTGTTAATGGCAATAGTATTATTAAATCTTTTTAATGGTAATGTTATCCATTTGATAGTAGTAAGTGAAATATTAGCTGTTTGGTAATAGTAATATTAACCGTTTGGTAATGTTAATATTGGCTGTTTGGTAAACTTCTTTTTGAAGGTTTCACATCCTGATAGTGAAAGCACACATTTGTAAGAAAAATAATAAATAGTAATGGATAATCTTTGATGGACAAAATCAAAATTGAATGCTAATCCACAGACGCTGGTCAGATAAAATATTGTATTTGTTCAATTTTAACGAAACAAATAAGTCACTCCATAAAAAACGTTACCGTGATTATATAACCAATAATTTTATCTTGGATTTACAGATATTGTAATAATGGTTATTGGTGCACAAAATAAAATCAACGGACTGAGTTCAAATTCTGAGTCAATTTTGTTCAGATATGACCATTGGTAAAAAGGGTGAATCCATCTTCCTCCGGTTATGAGTTAAATAGCAAAACAGATTACCAGTCAATTTAGGGAAAGAAAATTACTGAATTCAAACCCTGAAAAATATTAGAGAACGCTGGCCGCTTTAGCCTTGTTAAGAAAACTTCAAAACCAGCCTGGAGAGGGATGCATTTCGTCAGACCATATTGCAGTAAACATATCCACAGTTGTTAAAGCTTCAGTAGATGTTGGCTCAAAATCTGTCATTCTTATAAGCTCAAAATCTTTCACCCTTATGTTGTCAAATGTTTTCATATTTTTAAGCTCACATTTCGCTCGCAACTTCATAGAGGCAACTTGCTTTTCACACTGCGTTAATCTGGGATGCTTACTAAACCGAGTCTAGTCCGGTACAAAGCAACTGTGAAAAGAAAACGCAGGATCGGAAAATTTATCGTATATTCACATTATTAGTAATGTTAGAAGAATTAGTACTACTTACTAAGTTTTATTTAAACGTCACCAATGACGCCTCCACTTCTTACCGACAATGAGCGGGTTGCTTTTTACTCTCCGATGTCTCTAATTAAATCTAGAGTAAAACTTTTCAGTAAGGAAAACGAGCAAAAATAGAGATGGAATTAAATCCAAGAAAGTTAGAAAAACAGGACTTCACGTTTCACGTTATGAAGGGATCCTCAGACGGCTTAGATCGCTTGAAGTCACTGTGAAATTTTATGGCTCTGATATTCATATGTATTACACACATACAGACGCGCATACATGTATGTAGGGTGTATAAGAGTACCCGAAAAAAGTGATGAGACAATTTAGCAACGACTCGTTTCGCGGGAGAGCGTAAGCTCTCTTTGGCATCCTCAGGTTAGAATGAAAGGAAAATAAACCCGAGTGCCTTGGGATATTTGAGGATAAGTGAGAATCGTAAATCAAATTATATTAGCTTATCACTTTCCAATGCCCTGACTTAAAAGAGTCTCTTTACGCCTGTTTGTTTACCTGTTTTATCTGTGTCTGTATTACTGCCGTTTGGTATTAGTATTATTAAATCAAGTATTCTTTTTGTTATTATATATATATATATATATATATATATATATATATATATATATATATATGCACACACGTATACATGCATAAGCACTCACACAGGAATACATATATATATATATATATATATATATATATATATATATATATATATATATATATATATATAATATAAAAGGGTCAAACACTAATATTCCATGGTTATAATTTATTACATTGGAATCGTAATCACGATCCAATTCATCAGCCCTACAAATTCAAAAGAAATCAGAATATATATATATATATATATATATATATATATATATATATATATATATATATATATATATTTATATGGATAGGAATACGACAAAGTTTTTCTACAGATCCATTGTTCATGAATCTAGCTTATCTCTTCCGAATACATGAAAAATCTATGAATATATATACAAAATACGCACGAGATATGCTTTAATGAAAATGATCGTTTTTTTACACATATTTGAATATTATCTGTTACTTCATAACACGTGACACGTATCTAACCAATAAGAAAAAAACAGACGTAACATCATTAATCTACGTCTCTGCTTTTTATCATTTTTTATCATTTCTATCTTGATCTCTGACGAAACTTTAATAAAGTGAAACATGTTACATTAAGTTCTGTTTCCTATCTGTTCTCTATCCTATCATATATATCTGTCTATCTATAGATTCACATATTGTTATTAATCAATCATTACATTTTTATTTGCACTGTCACCTAAATAGTAAGAAATATCTTCAATTTATTATGTAGAATACTAAAAATAATCACTTTGTTGATAACTAAAGAACTCATTCGATTTAGTTTTGTAGATGCTGAGGGGTCCTCCCCTTTCTACACAAATGGACTCACCCAGTATATACATATACTACTGCTACATAAAGACCCGACAGAACAGGAGAACCGGAAGAAGGGGAGCAACAGTGGGTGAAGGTGACAGACAGACAGACAGAACGAACGTAGCGAGCAAGAGTCACAGTGAGTGAGCACGTAGACTCCGTAAGAAGTCATACAGCGATACTTCAATACCAAAGACTGTATAGACATTTGGCTACTAACCCGTATTCCTGGAACTACTAACCTGCTTTACCAGTTTGTATTATTACGTTAATACATTATTTTTCTATATTCATTTTTGGCGTTTGTTATTTATTGGTAGCGGATTTCATCCCGGAATCCACAACAATAGAGAAGGACTCGGCGTACTTCCTACTCTTGTGATAATGAACGATTCCTAATTATAAATATGGCAAGTAGCCACATTAGAGTAGAACTTGAGTTTACTCGAGTTATTCCGTTCTATGTATGAGTATTAAATAAACCACTTCTTTGATTTCCATATCTAGTCTTCTGAACCTTCAATGTTCTCTTTGACTATGATCTTCCTAATTCTCGGTTATTATGAACAAAAAACATTACAACATTTAGTTTCTTAAATTCATCATATATTAACATTATTCCAAATATTACAAAGGTTAGTACACCATATTTATTTTTATTTAAACGTCGCCAATGACGTCACCACTTCACTTTACCCATTTCCAGAGTTTATTGCTTTTTAATACTTTGATGTTCCCGACTTAGATCTTTGACACGATTGACACTGAAAGGCAAACATGATCAACAATAACTCATGTTATTTGTTTAACTAAAACAATATTATCACACAGCAAAAGAATGTTACTAGTTGGCCTCAATAGTACTATTAGTACAATAACAATGACTATGAAGACACAACAACGGTTTCGTGCTGAAATAAGAGACTTGCTGGGTAGTAAGTTCACCAATATCGCCACCACTTCATTTTACTCGCTTTGAGCGTCTGTTGTTTTTTTTTCATGTTGATGTCTCTAGATTTGACATGATTGACATTGTAAGTCAAACATTATCAACAATAACTCATGTTATTTTTTTTTTATCAAAGAATTTTAGCATACAGAGAAAGAATATTACTAGTTGACCTGGATACTACTACTAGTATCATAAGGATGACTATGAAAACACAACAATGGATCAGTGCTGGACTTGTAGGATGGGTTAAAATAAGCAACAATAAAAGGTTCAGAGAAATACACATTCTGTGATATTGTTTACATTTTCATATTCTTAACTGACATTTTGCCAACAGTTTAACACACTGACTAACAACTCCAAATCAGTCATGTGATGCCACTTTATTATTTTTAATTTAAAAAAATATTTTGTAAAACGAATATGTTAGGTACCAATTAAAGTTTTTAATGTTTAAATCTTTTGAGAAAATTGTCAAAGTATTTTCTTAAACTCAGAAGGCATTTTACGGGATTACGGCCATATCACGTTGAAACATTGGTTCCCGTACGTTCACCGAAGTTAAGCCATGTCAAGCCTGGTCAATTTTCCTTATACTTCGTTTTTAAAAATGCCATATTAAGCTACACACTTTCATTTCTTTAATATATATATATATATATATATATATATATATATATATATAGAGAGAGAGAGAGAGAGAGAAAGAAACAAAGAAACAAAGAAAGTAGAAAGAAAGTAAAAAATATTCCAAAAAAGAAAAGAAAAAGAAACAATTACATTGAAGCAATGAAAAGTGTAACATAAAAAACGAAAAACTATATAAAAAGTGAGGAAAATCATAGAAATAATATATATATAATCGACTCTCCCGTCGCGTTCGACGTATGAGGGTCAGGCCGATAAGTCCCCAGGAAACCGACATCCCGACACCGGCACATGAGATTTGTTTATAGTGGTGAAGGCCTCGTGCAGGACCAGCCACACTTTTTTGGAGGGACGAATACAGAAACCTGGTGCACCGAAAGCATGCCACAAGGTTCCCAAACGACCCTCCGCAGGTTTTGAATTCAGAGTTGTCCTTCTCCTAGACCAGTTGCCATCCAAGGCTATAGAACCCAGTCTGTCCTGCTATTTTACCCATAGCTGGAGGGAGATGAAGAGGATACATACCTTTCCCAAGGGTATTAGCACGTAAGTGAATGTAATGGACTCGACTGGAATTCGAACTCGGCTCTGCGATTCCTCAATCCAAGCCGCTATCCACTGCTCCACCGTGCCCCCCAGTGTAAGTCCCCCCACCCCAGAATGTGTATTTCTCTGAACCTTTTATATATATATATATCGGACGTAACAGTAAAATTGTCCAAATCCTTTAAAAGCAAATTGTCCATTTTTTAGATTAAGTTTAAACCGATATATCTTAGAAAAGAATAACGATATTTTACTGGAATTCTCTGAGTTTTTTATAACCCTATTTGGACTCTATTTTGAGCAAGAAGAATTTATAATTACTCTCCAAGCTTAACAGAAGAATCGTGATGAAATCGATCATAAACAAAAATGACATGTTAATTATAGCTAAGGATCGGAACGTCATGAAGGATTGAAATTAAGTTCAATTATATTTTTCTTCACTATTTGCCCCCTCTTTTTAAAACTTATTCATCATTCTCTTGATAGTTCTTGAATGGACTTTGAAGATGGAAACCCGAGTATGAATGTTGGTACAATTACTGAAGGCCTGAATGATCTTTTTCCTCTCACCATTTCTCATTTGGGAAGACAGTGGGGCTGAAACAAAACGATTCTATTCTATTTCTAGCTGAACAAATCAAAGGGTTTTTCAGTGATTCTTACGAAAAATTGTGTCAAGATGGCTAAACGTATTATCTAACCTGGCAAAAGTAATTCAATTAGTTTAGTGTTTTTATTTCTTTTAGATATTCAACATTTTGTGGGATGGACACGATTTGTACAAATATCTATCTATCTATCTATCTATCTATCTATCTATCTATCTATCTATCTATCTATCTATGTGTCTGTCTGTTTGTCTCTATCTCTATATATACATATATAAATAAATAATACACATTATATATATAATAAACAAACACTTCATATATATATCGATATAATAAACACAGATTACACACACACACACACACACACACACACACACACACACACACACACACACATATATATATATATATATATATATAGTAGGGCAAATTGTAAAAAAAGTTTTTGTAACTCGTTTCCACCGTTATATTTTCATCGGATTGGGTTTTTGTTTTTTCTAGTTTTTTAAATTGTTGATATATAAAATTATATATTATAAATTATATATATATATATATATATATATATATATATATATATATATATATATATATATACAAGACATATTTCAATTTTTTTTTTCAATGATTCTAACTGTTTCTTTTCTTTGTTTCCCATTCTAATTCTGGATGTGGTTTCAATCTTTTAAGGTGCAGTATACATATATATATATATATATATATATATATATATATATATATATATATATATATATATATATATATACATATATATATATATATATATATATATATATATATATATATGAAAACACACACACACACACACACACACACATATATATATATATATATATATATATATATATAATAAGCGCACATTATATATGTTTATTATATAATATACACACATTTTATAAGTTTGATAATTTATTCCATTCTTTTTTCATTGACTGTAACAGCTCTTTTTCCTTGCTTTTTTTTTACTCTTCTGTCAAGTTCATCGCATGTTCATTCTGGGGTTGTCTTTAAACTTTTGAACTTTAGTCTAACAATTCTACATTTCTTATATCGCAGCCGACAGTAACTGACTACGTACGGAGTTGAATAAAATAGAAATATATTAAACGTTATAGATTCAAATTTCGCTTCATCATTATTAGCAACGCATCAATGTTTACATTACACACGCAAGTCGTACAAAAATGCTTAGTTATAAATGATTTCTTTTTCTTCTTCACTTGCTGACCTTTAACGTTCATAACTCAAATCTTAATTCATGTAAAACCTAATATTTAATCTTAAAACAATTTAAAACAATAACTATAAATCTTTTTAAGCCACGAATGAGGGAGTATCTAAAAATATGTAAGTTGTATTTGAATTTCTTGTATCATTCAACCGAGATTTACTAAGATTTGTTCATTTTTCGCAAGATGGAAGGAAATTCATTTATTGTATCAAAAGTAACAATTTTCTTTGACTAACAGAAAATATTTACTTTTCCTGCCTTCCGTTTATGTTTGTGATAGAGAAAAAAAACAATGGTTGATAGTTCAGTGTAGATCTTTCCTGTTAATTCGCCCGAAATAATGTAAGGTTAATAATCGCAAATATTAAATTCACTCCAAGAAAGTACAAATTTCAAAGCAAGGTTTTTTTTTTTTTTTTTTTTAATTAAATTTTTGGCACTCTTTTGAAATCATAAATTTTGAAACAAAATTTGTTTAGCTTGCCTCACAACAACTGCAACTGTCAGAATGAAAACAAAAAATCAGGGGAGTTAATCACATTTCGTATTTTTAAATTAAAAAAAAAAAAGAAAGTCTGTTTTTGGCGTGTTTATCGGGGTGAGCTCAAACGTAGACTCCACACTTAGAAATATTGCACAAAGGTCAACCCAACCGGAGTACAATGTAAGGGTTTAGCTCTGAGAGAATTTGGGGTGAATTTTAGTAAATAATATTTAAATTCTTTTTATTTTGGGGTGAATTAACAGAAAAGATCGTTAAGTTCTATTTGCTGTCTTACAGCTAGAATGTAACACATTGACATTTCAGTTAATTCTACTTCACTTTTTATTTAGAAAAGAAAAAAAAAGCAAGCACACAAAAATGGTTGACTCTTCTGGGTGTTTCCTATTAATGTTTTTCGCCATAAGCCAATAAAATGGAGGTAAAAAAAATTAACCGGTTCTTTCTGCAGACATCAGGGCCTACCAATAATCCAATCCAATTTAGTCCAATGGGAATCTCTGGGAATCAGATATTAATTTCCATTCTTCTTCTTTGTGCCCCGTATCTTCCCGTCGTTGGCGATCATGGCCCTCCACAACTTTCTGTCCTTTGTAGCTCTTAATAAATTTTGTCTGTTTTTGTTTTCTCTCCTAAACCTTGTTCTGTCATTCATTTACTCAAGTTTGCTACTTAGGCTATACGTTGTTTACTCTCTATACCTCCTGGCTTCAATCTGTTCCATGAGTATCAAATTTTCCAAGTCCCCTTTCCTCATTATGTGCTCTAAATTTCTAATTTTCCTTCTGATGTTAATTATATGTGATCTTTTTGTTTCCATTTTCTCTAAAACTTCGTCGTTGCTCACATGGTCGGTCTATGGTATTCTCAGCATCCTTCTGTAGAACCACATTTCTGTTGCTTCATGTCTTGAAACGGCAGTAGCTGAGAACTGTATACTTGATGGTGGATTAGGATCGACGGTGATACAAATGATAGAGCTGGATGTTAACACCGTGGGTTGCACTAGAATGTCAACCATCCAAAACATTTAGCAAATACGCTATATATTAGGTAATATATGTTTAGAAAAATGGCACTAGCTTCGCTGGCGTTACATAAATATCAAGTAATAATAAAAACAACAGACCTAAATTGTTAAGACGGTCTTGAGTGAATACCATCGGCAGATTTCTCTGGCATTTTTTTCATTCCTCGTTGAAAAGAATTTTAAATGGTTTATCGAATTATGTTGATTAAATTAAAGATAATTTAGTATTGATTAAGATATCATTGAAAATGCACGTTCCTTCTGTCATTAAACATTCATACCGACATCATCAAAAAATATCCTAATGTTACAGATGTAACTACTTGAAAAAGATGAACTGCCATCTTAGTCCAGTAATATTTGATATCGAATGTGCAAATCTATCTATCTATCTATCTATCTATCTATCTATCTATCTATCTATCTATCTATCTATCTATCTAACAGATTCACATCAAGTAAGTTGATAATACCACTAAGAAGCAGGAAACTACTGGGGGTTAAAGAGAATGAAAAGACTAGAAGGAACCAGAAATCCAATCCTAAACAGCAAACAAGGGATAAACTGCTACTACTGTTCAAAAGACCGCGAACTTGTCTGCACCTACTGAAGAGAAACAAGTAATAAATTGTAATTGAAATTTCAGAGTTTAGACGGAGGCTTTAGAAGAATAGAGTTGAAGTAAACTTCAGAAGGAACCGGAAACCCAATCCTAAACAGGAAACAAGGGACAAGTCTGTTCAAAAGACTATGGAGGGCTGTGAACTGGACGATTCTATCTATCTATCTATCTATCTATCTATCTATCTATCTATCTATCTAGCATGGTATATTTGAGTATTCTTTTAAACGTGTGTTGTTAATAACAGCAGATTAAATGCGGAGGCACGGTGGCGTAATGGATAGCGGCTTGGACTGAGGAATCGGAGAGTCGAGTTCGAATTCCAATCACTTAAGTGGGAAAAGTATGAATCCTCTTCTTCTCCCCCCTTCAGCAATAGGCAAATAGCAGGACAGACCGGGTTCTATAGGTTTGGATGGTAACTGGTTTACCATCTACCGTAGAAAGAAAGTGCAACCTACTACGGAAATAAAAATCTGCCTCGTCAGTCATGTATCGAAAGGTACATGATCGCCTAAGTGTGTTTAACGTATAGCATATAACTGACTGAATTTAATGATTTTTAAAAAAATGTATGAATATCACTTCGTAAATGGGGTTGTCGTGTGCTGATAAATTAGTTAGAATTCATGTTGTGCAGTTTTGAAGTTTTTAACTCACTTGAGTTGTCATCAGATGTAAGAAAAGTAAATTGAATAAATCGTTATTTCTCTAAATCTAAATCGAATGCAGCGAAACAGAGGATGTCATGTGACAGCAACTTGCAAAAGTATTTTTAGATGCACCCAATAATGTGGGGTCTCAGACTATAGCTAGTTTTTATTTTTTTTGTCATCGTTTCATTTCAGATAATACCACTAAGACGCAAGGCGGGAAGTAAACGTGAAAGAAGATGAGAAGAATTTAGTGAGAAGAAAGGACAATAAAAGAACAGAATTTAAAAAAAAGACAGAAGATGGCAATTGACGTTACGCTTATATTTTTGAAGATTGTATATGGCAGCGAAGTAAGAAACAAGAAGAGAGTTCCACAGGCGAGAAGTGTGAAAAAGAAACTATTGGAATAGGACTTGCGGTAGCGTCAAGGTATTTTAATAATAATACGATAAGACTAATCTAGCAGTGGGCTTAAATTCATGTGGTCGAGGTATCAAGGAGAACAGCTCATCAGAACAACTGCCATGGAAATACTTATAGAAAAAACAGCGGTGGCATAGTGACTGAAGCTGAGATGCCAGGTCAGGACTGATAAAAATACAGACCCTTCTATGAAATTTGTCAAGAATCTCGAGATATATATCAGGAGCACCTGACGAGATATGGCAGCAAGATTCAATGCACGAACGAATGGTAGATTTATAAATTTGCAAGATAGATTCCTACGATAAAAATTGTCTGGCACGAGACAGTAAACCAGCTTTGCTTAGCATTTGATACAACATCATCACTGCATTTCATGCGGAAAACGTTAGACCAAGAAGGTGCAATGAGTTGTTCTCCTGGAGGTTAGCATCAGCCATGCTGATTGAAGGCAAAAATGGTTGCCTGTGATGGCTACAAGATAGCAGATTTGTTTTGGATGCGCTAAAATTTAGCAGGATTTTTTGCTCCAAGTAAAAATCTGATTGAAGGTCATTTTCGAGAGCTTCTGACAGTTTTAATTTGTCGGACTGGTAAGAGAAGAGGAAATAGTTGTGTTATCAGTATAAATACCTAGTTGGTAACTAATGACATCAAGGTCATTTATGAACATAAGAAACAATGTAGTTAAAAGGATAGAGAGCCCTGAGAGAAACCCGTATTGATAGGAAATGATCTAGAAGCGTGGCCGTTCAACATGACCTTCGTTACACGAATTTTAGAACGATTAATTGGCCAAATATTCAACCAGAGACACCATAGTCCTTGAGCTTGTGAAGAATGCCAAACGCCTTCGAGATTTCTAAAGACGACACTCACCGTTCTTATCTAAAGCCTTGATAATCAATTTCAGCAAATAACCGTTAGGACATTAGCAGTTGGCCTAGAGAAACGAAATCCATGTTGTATTGATTTTCTAAGCGAGGCTTAGATGTGGCACATGGCCGAAAGTATGGGACAGCCAGTGAGGAACGACTCATTACTCAAGATCAGCTTGCTAACCATTACACCACGCCGAGGCGCCCAACGAAATCCATGTTGTATATCTGAAAGAAGAGCAGGTAAAATGAGTTGATTAGAGCCACTAGTACTTTCATGGACAGTTGCTTAAGAAGGAAGTGGTTCTACAATATGTAGTCTTTTTATTAATCATTTCACCTTAAGCAAGGTAATATAGCCACTAAGACGCGGGACACTGAATGTGAAAGAATATAAGAAAAAGAAAACCTTGTTAAGTCGCAAGAATAATAAAAGAACATCAATTAAGATGACAGAGGATAACGATTGACATTGCATTTAAATTTTTGAGGAACAAACTTGACTGGAAAGCAAGAAGCCGGAAGAGATTTCCATAAGCGAGAAATGCGAGAAAAAAAAAACTGTTAGCATAAAACTTGCGGTTACATCTCGATATTTCAACTCTAAAATGATGAGATCTTGCCGCCAGTCTAGTAATGAACTTAGATTAATAAAATCTGGGTACCATAGACGAAAGTGATATTTATTCTGTTTAATACAGAAATGTGGCACATGGCCGAAGGGGGGATTGGGAAAAGGACGGTTTTCTTCTGTCTTAACTATAACTTAGCTAGCCACAAACGCTAACCCAATCGCACAAACAATATTCCTTACACCAAAACAACGCATTCATACGTACCTTTCTTACTACACTCACCATAATACCACTTTGTCTCTATGAAAATACTAACTAGTCCCCATATTTACAATTCATTGTCCGTGAGGGGAGGGGAATAAAACAACAATTCTAAAAACTAGCCTCAATGAGTACCATAGAGGAAAGTTCATCAGAACAATTACCGTGAAAATATTTATAGAAAAGGCACATGGAAGCTACGTTAGGGCGGTGGCCAAGTGCAATCAGATTTATGAAGTATTATTATTAAAATAGTTGCTAAATATTACTGTAATTCTCGACATTTGTATTTTCTTAATGAGGAAAGAGCACCTGGAGAATCTGACACTCACAGGATATATTGATGACAAGTGAGACAAAGGAAAGTAACGTTCTGAAGGGAAACAGTACATAGAAAAAGTCAGAACCTATCTTTGCAAAGCAATTTTGCAATCTGTAAATCTTACGTATTGTGGTTCGTTGTGTAAAGCTATTAAAATAAAAGTAAAACTTTTACAATTTGCCAACAAAATGCGAAGCGCTTTAATCGCAGACATAAGATAACTTTATGTTCCAGGTCTTGCGAGAAAAAATGTCTGAGAATAAATGTAGACGAAAAGGAATGGAATTGTCAACCGGCAAAAAACAGCAAATGGAAAGAAATTTTAAAATTTACTGAATCATTCTCATTAATCATTCTCTTATCATAATTATAAACAAGTATTTACAATATAGAAATATAAATCTTTTTATAACTCTGATTATTCCTCAGTTCATTAGGTGGCACGTACGTACGCTACGCCCTGCCAACACCTCAGGAATAATGGAATATTCTGTTTTGATCGCGTGGAAAGGCACAAAAGTCATATCAGAGACGCTACTTATTTTCAACGAGAGAAAGAAAGAAAGAAAGAAAGAAAGAAAGAAAGAAAGAAAGAAAGAAAGAAAGGAAGAAAGAAAGAAAGAATGTATGCAATAAATAAACGCCCTGCTAATACCTTATAAATAATGGACTCTTCTGGTTGGATCGTGGTGAAAGATGCAAAAGACCTCTCAGAGAGGCTGTTTGATTTCAGTTATGAAAAGAAAGAAAGAAAGAAAGAAAGAAAGAAAGAAAGAAAGAAAAGAAAGTTCTATCAGGAAATCTGTGAAATTTTTACGGGTACTACTATTTAGTAAATAATATAGAAAGCCTTAGGATTCAATGTCACAGCAGCGATCTTTGCGAAGAGAATAGATTAGTAAAGATTTATGTGTATGAAAGCCGTTAATTTAAAGCATAAGGTATCCTTATAATGAAAAATGGTAATTGTAAATTGGTTTTACGTGTAATGTGGTAACGTTGCCTTCACATTAAACTGTAATTTTTAATCTGGATCAACCACCTCATCCTTGAACAATGGTTCCAATATCCCCATTGTTAACATATCCTTCTGATGTCAACTTAAACTTGTGCTTTTTTTTCTCCCAAATATATAAAAAGTAAAATTATAGACTATAATTTTTTGGAGTGTAAGCATTTTATTGAAGTATGTTGGACATTTTCAAAATTTCCATCTGAAATTAAAAATACCAACTTTATACAAAATGGTTTCAATATATGGAAAAAAGAATGTCTTTTTAAATTGAGCTAAGAGTATATATGTTAATAATTAAAAAAAACCCCTCTTCAATGAATCAAAAAAATATATAAAGAAACTCAAAGGCGCCTGTTATTGTATGAAACCAAACATGTATTAACAAACAGAAACAGAACATCATAACGCATGCGCAGTGATCATTCATGGCCGACATATTTGAAACTATAATGAATATGGGACAGAGATATATTTTGACAGTTGTTTCCTGTAGTCATCTTCACGAAGCCATGTAAAAGTTATGTCAATGAAGCAGTTCAATATTACTGCATCATGCTCTGAAGGAATGGGAAAGGAAAAAAAATCAAACGATCAAATTAAACATAGAGAAAAAGAATTAAAGAAAACGACATCCTCTTCATGCTATTATGTCTGGTATTTGAGATTCTCGTTTAAACACGAGATGTCGAAATGCATAATTCTCCCCGAAATGGACTGTAATAAAGTTGAGCAAATCAATTTAGAGTCTTCAAAGTAAACAAAAGTGCCACTCAGGGGAAAGCAAGAAGAAAACCCGTTGAAAGTTTGAAACAAAATTTCAGTAATAAAATATTAAGAAAAGAATGAAATAAAAGCTTCTCGTGTAACTCGTCTTGTTTTTAGTTGAATGTGTGGATTAAAGGACATGTTTTCTCGAGGGAAGTCACTCTGTAACACCTAATCAAACAAAGATGGACAGGACAGTGGTCTCGTAAAATATCGTCACTATGCATCCCAAGTTAAGGATTCTATAGTTTTTTGGTTTTCTTAATGGGTTTTTAGGATATGAATAGGATTAAAATAAAAAAGGGAAGATCAAGTGATAAAAAGCACAACTTCAGACTTCTTTTTCGCTTCTTGTATATTTACGCTACAACGAATCTTTTGTTGTTCCTATTAAAGCTGTCTGCTAACTTTATGTTATAAATCCTAAAATGTTAGAAAAATGCAGCTATCGTATTCATTTTTAAATGAGAATTTGCGGATAATCGAATAATTTTATTACTAAAATTCTGCAGGTTAAACCAGTTTACTCATTTATTTTATTTTTTCTCTACTCTTTCTTTTTATCTATCTATCTATCTATCTATCTATCTATCTATCTATCTATCTATCTCTATCTATCTATCTATCTATCTATCTATCTATCTATCTATCTATCTATCTATCTATTCAAATGAAATGTAGTGACTCTAATTTTGTTCTGAGAAGTAATTGTACATGTTGGTTTCGAAAAATGAATTTATGTCTCATCAACCGCATTGGCTTGAATTTGTAATATTCTCGCTGTGTCTATCTATCTATAGACCTGGGTATGATGATAAACTACATCCGGCAGCAAGGCTTCTGGTTAGGAGACTGGAGGTTTTGAGGAGAGTGGGGCCACCTCTTAATTGCTGCTGTTGCTCCCAGGTTCATCATGGCCCGGGGGTGGTAGCACCTGTTAGGGTTCTAGCTATGGAACAAAAACAAAATATTCTGAAAGTCTAAAAGTACATCTTTATATAAAAATAGCAACAATACATATTTACAATAAAATTACTAAGAATACCTATTTATAGTTTATATTTAGTTGAAGCCATCAATTGTGTTCAAAATATTCAGATTTCGGCATTAAATAATCCATAGTGGTTGATATACCGCTAAAATAATTAACCAATTAACAATACATATTTATAGTAAAATTACAAACAATACATATTTAAAGCGTGAGGACAGACAGGTATCCTGTCAACTAGCAAAGGTAATAAGTTCCCATGATATATATATATATATATATATATATATATATATATATATATATATACACACACACACACACACACACACACACACACACATATATATATATATAAATGCGAGGAAGAACAAATGGAGTAAAAATCCCACAATTCGTACCATTTACTTTTTTAAAAAGTGCTCAATACAAAGTAGAGCAATATATTATTATTATATTTTTATTATAAGAGATTATAATAAAACATGTTGAAATCGCTACACAAAAGCTTTCATATTTCAATACTTTGATTGTACTTCTTCAGGCGATGTTAGGTAACTGGTGATGAAAGGATTTATAAGTAAATTTAAAGACAAATTGTTACTTATTTTTCGAAAGTTAAAGAGGGGGTGTTAGGACCAAGTATATGGTTAAGAAATAACAAAACAAGAGGTTGCAGATAAATAGTGTATTGAACAGTAAATAAAACAGAAGTGTGTTACACGACTTGGGAGTGTGTGTCACTTGACCAGCGTTCCACTGTTATATTTAGTACCCCCCCACGAGGGTACATGGGGAACAAGGCCGAGTTTAACGTGGGTCATCCGAGCCCGTAGGCTCGGCCAAAAAATCCCCGTAGAACCCGCATAAACGGGTTCGGGTTTGTCTACCTCCCCCGACGAAACTCTACCCTTCGGCGCCGCCTCATCCGGGTTCCTCTCTGCCAAAAGCAGTGAGTTCGACAGGAGCTGCGAGCAGCCTCAGTAGAACAGTTTAGATCACTGTTAATATCTAACAGTCCCCTTCCACAGGGGATATATGTGGCACAAGGCCGAGTTTAACGTGGGTCATCCGAGCATGTAGGCTCGGCCAAAAAATCCCCGTAACCCAGCCTCGGTAGAACAATCTATATCACTGTTTCCTCTGAGACTTACTTTCCTACTACTTTCCACAATAGCCTCATTAAAGGGAGTACACCTCAACAGAGGGGGGGGGCGAAAGGTCAAAATTAAGATTAAACTTGTATGTCTTCATTAAAAAAAAGTAAATTTCCAATCTACGCTAAATAAAAAATATATGCCCAGAGGGGGAGGTAAGTTATCTCTTCATGTTATGATAAAGTAGAACACAGACAGGCGACAAATGTATCCAGATTGTTGACAAATATGACATGTTCAATTTTTTGGAAGGGTATTGAAGGGAGAAATAGGTTGATCAGAAGTAAAGTTAACAGAAAAAATGTTTTGTTTTTTTTTTAAATTATATTCAGGAAACTTCATAAAGGGGCCTGTAGATAAAATTAAAAATGTGGAACATCTATATAAGATATTGATAATAGTAAATGGAAGGCAATACATATCAAAATTAAAGCTGAATAAACAAAATAAGGTATTTAGTCGTTGAGGTTGGGCCATTATATATTTATAAATCATCGCTATAAGAAATGGTAATACGTAATTTTAAAAAATTAACTATGTTTTAAGGTAAAAGATAAACTGTGTCGGCAGTGTACCGTTAATTCACTCCTCTATTTCAATAGAGCTTTTTTGTCAGCAAATTTTATTAACACTAATTTTTCTTTATAAACATAAGAAGCACGGTTGATTTAAAGATTTACAAGTTTTTTTTTTTATATTTTATATTTTACCGTAGGAATTTTATTAACTTCTTTTAAGTTCCAAAAATATTTAGAAAGGGGAGTCCTATTTCTGTACGCATTGTTGGTGAAAAATAATATATGTTGATACCACCTAGTTTTAAATGAATTCTTGGTACTCCCGATACAAAATTTTTAACTGTTGGATTTTCTATAGTGGAAATAGTGCTTAGGTAAACAAGGGAGTCTGTTTGACATCTATTTTGTAATGTTTAGCCAGTGTCTCAGATCTCTTACTTAGCCACCGTATTAACAGAATGGATCATGACTAATGATTTTCACTTGTATAGCATTGTGAAACCTTATTTACTTGCATTTTACTGGTTTCCGGAGAACAACACCCGTGAAATATTTTGCTGCGTAGTTTGTTTCTTAAACAATGACTGAAATGAAGACGACATTAATGATGGCCACGTCATTAATGGAAATGTGTCATCCTCAGTCCGTAGTGTAGTGAATAAATCTCAGAAAGGAACCATTCGTTTTTGTCCCCTTCCAGCACGAACGGGAAACAGGAAAAAATATAAAATTCTTCTGGTCAAATGAAATGGTTATTTATTATAGATGTTAGCACAATAAAAGAATTTCCTTCCATCATGTGAATAATTAACACTGCTTTGAAAATCTCATTTGATTGGTTGAGAATTCAGAAGCACGAATGAATAATTTAACTTCCCATTGGTTAGCTTCTTTTCTGGCTTAGAAAATTTGCAGTTATTGTTTTAAAATCAAATGTTAAGTTTTAAGTTAATCCACTGAGGTCTGAGTGATGGACGTTACGAGTTAAGATGGTGGGAAATCGTTTGTTTTTCATCTTTTATTTCTTTTCAGGACGTGACTGAACATGGATCCCATCCTTTATAACTTTAAGCAATGTTTGTAGCTTTAATCCGTCATTCATGTACATAAGCTCGTTCGGAACGATGAACGCTATTTCTTTTTGCTTCTCTTGCTTTCAAATATCTTGCGAGTGTCGAATTCACGAAGCTCTTAACTGTCTTTTTTCTGATTCAAATGGTACAACTGTCATTTTTTTGTTCTCATTTTCAAGACATTCTTCCTCATTGTTCTCATGTCGCGTTAATGGTATTCTCATCATTGTTCTGTTAAAGGACATCTATTTTGGGCACAAGTTACCTTTCCATCTTTAAAGAAATGTCACTAAATCAATCGCGTAGTTTCTACATGCCTTAATGCTGTAGATTTGCTTGGTGGTTGGAGTATTTGCATTTTTGCCAACCAGAGCCAGTAGTCGATGATCGAATCCAGTTCAGTGGCCAGTAGTTTGCAGTTTCAAAACAGTAAACTCCTCCTTACTGGCGAGTAACAGTTTTCTTATCCGGTGTTTTCTCTTTTCGGTTTGCCTTGTGCCAGACTTATCTAAGCTTAGCAAACCTCCCGGATTAATTCAGTATTAAGGTGCTACAGAATCGTGAGATCAAGAATAGGAAAATAGTTGGATATGCAATATAATTGGCCCTGTTCTGGCATCTCGTCTACAGTCACTCTCTCACAGGCGCGCCGTCGCCTCTCTTTTTTACAAATACTTTCATGGTAATTGCTCTGAGGAGCTGCATTCGCTGGTTCCCCGACTTCATGAATTCAAGCGCCCTACGAGGCTGGCATCCCGCTCTCACCATTTCACTGTTGAAACTACTAAATGTAGCCGTCTCTTCTACTCCAATAGCTTCATGTCTCGCACCTCTCGCCCGTGGAACTCCCTTCCCTATTCCAGTTTCCCTGAGAGCTATAATCTCCAACAATTCAAATGTAATGTCAGTCGACATCTCCAGTTGCCTTGATCTATCCACTATCCTTCTTCTCATCCTTTCCTCTATCACTCCTATCTGATCTTCCTCCAAATTTTCTGTAACCCCTTGCGTCCTAGCGGCTTCCCGCCCTGCTTGGGGTGAAACGCTTAAAAAAAAAATCGAATCGTTTATTGTAACTTACTACCCAGCAAGTCTTTTATTCCAGCACTGCGCTGTTGCTGTGTCTTCATAGTCATCGTTATGGTACTATCGAATCATTGACTCCTCACGGGAAAAGGAGTAGTGAGAGACAACAAGATGGCTACCGGACAATACACCATCTGTAGACAATGAATTGCTTATCCAACCCAATCCTTCTGTATCCTGGTCAGTGAGAATAAAAACAAATATTATTGTTTTAAAATATATTTAACTGTGCTTTCTTATATTTTATTGTCCCTAATATTTTGGCTTACAACAGAGGTCATCTCGTAACATTCTGTTGCTGCGTGCTAATATTTTTAGTTAAACAAATAACATGAGTTATTGTTGATCATGTTTGCCTTTCAGTGTCAATCGTGTCAAAGATCTGAGTCGGGAACATCAAAGTATAAAAAAGCAACAAACTCTGGAAATGGGTAAAGTGAAGTGGTGACGTCATTGGTGACGTTTGAATAAAAATAAATATGGTGTACTAACCTTTGTAATATTTGGAATAATGTTAATATATGATGAATTTAAGAAACTAAATGTTGTAATGTTTTTTGTTCATAATAACCGAGAATTAGGAAGATCATAGTCAAAGAGAACATTGAAGGTTCAGAAGACTAGATATGGAAATCAAAGAAGTGGTTTATTTAATACTCATACATAGAACGGAATAACTCGAGTAAACTCAAGTTCTACTCTAATGTGGCTACTTGCCATATTTATAATTAGGAATCGTTCATTATCACAAGAGCAGGAAGTACGCCGAGTCCTTCTCTACAAAACTAAATCGAACGAGTTGCTTAGTTATCAACAAAAAGATTATTTTTAGTATTCTTCATAATAAATTGAATAT